ATTTTATCCTAACACTTTCTGTCCATGTCCAAGGTGGTCAACCTCGCTTATCTTGTAGCTCCACATTTACCCTTCTGATTGACTCCGTTCCACTTTTCAGACACTGCCTGTGGTCCCCTCTTATATATCCTACGAACAGCTTCCGGTCAGATGGGCGGCGACGACATATACAGTGTTATGGAGTATGCTTCACTTTCACTGGTTTATACTGTCGGGACACCAAATTCCGGCGACACTATTACTGCGTGCAGGGCCAATGGTGGGGCCGCAGGGGCATGTTGGCTATGAAATCTTCATAGTTTTCAGGAGGTCTGTGTGTGGGGAAGGCCTGTGCGTTCATATGTGTAACATCAAGGTCGCAAGCCCGCACCACCAAGTAGCTCTAAGCGACAACGGAAATGTTATGCAAAAAAGATTTAAGCAAAGTTGAGAAATAGAATAAATTCCATTGAAGCACAACAAGTAAGATATACTAATTATTTTATTTATTATAATATATGAGCTAATACAATAGATTTAGGGAAATGAGCTGCATAGATAAGCTTATTGTAGTTGGCCATGTCTGTCTGGTACTTTGCAAGTATTTAAAGTTGAGATTCTTGAGTCTACTCTACAAAGAATCAGAAGAACTATTAAGTCTACAAAAGGAAGAAAAGCTAGTCAGAATATGAACTTAGTTCTGGATTGGAATGTACAGCTCTACACATTCATTAAGCTACAACTGAAGAATGAGAAAGAGTGGAGAGCAGTAGAGTTGACCAGAGTGGAGACAGATCCAATTTCACCAAAAAAATCACATAAAGAGTTAGCACTATTAGTAGCTAACTCTGGTGGTTAGGAAACTTGGATAATAAGGAGAATCCTGAAGCAGGAGGTAGAATACATTTAAACAGGAAAGCTTCCAGCACCAAAGCAGGGAAAGCATGTAAAAGTTGCCAGTTGGCTAACTGATGAGAGAACAATGCTTGCGATGAGAGAATATATGTCACAGGCAAGAGAAGGTATAATTCAAATATGATATCAAGTTCCTTATAAATATTAGTTAAAAAACGATATCTAATATTGATAATTAGCAATAGATTCTGCAGGACTTACCCAGGCAATTACGAAATACTGGTTGGAAGCCTATCATGATATTTCTTTCAGAGATAACGACCAATTACTCCTCATTTCAACAGCAGGTATCTATCAACGTATTAAGCGAGCTCTATCTACTCGTTCTGTATGAGCTTGGCTACTAAAGTTAGGATGGAATTGGAAAGAAGTGAAGAAAGAATTATATAAAGATGACCATGAGCAAGAAGATGTAAAACATTACCAAAATAATGTTTTTCTCCTGGAAATGCATGCTTTGAAGCCTAAGTTAATAGAGTAAGATGAAAAGTTGGAAGTAATTCTAAAAACCTACGAAACTGGAGTCAGACCAATAGTATTGATTGCATATAATGAGTACATCTTTAATTCGAATGATGGATGTAAGAAGATATGGATCCATGAAGATAAAATTCTGATACGGAAGAAAGGTCGTAATCAAGGACTTCATATCTTAGAGTTTCTTACACCAGTTGGGCAACTTGGAAGTAGAAGTGTTTGTGAAATTCTCAAATACAGTAGAGATATATGGTGGACTAGAGAACTTCTTCTATAACAATCAGAAGAAAAAGCAATTCCTGCTTTTGAAGCTGCATTTCCTAGATGCCAAGGACTATTTGCATTTGACAATGCAAAGATTTACCAAAAGTATGCTGCTGATGCACTCTTAGCCGGAAATATGCACCTGGCTTCTTGTGGTAAAAATTCAGTTCCCATGCAAGATGGATTCTTCAATCACCCCAACAATCCAAACATAGTCCAGCGCTAGTCCATGATGCTTCCCAATGGTCAATTGAAAGACTTACAAATTCTTTTCAAAGAGCACGGTCTTTGGCCTAATGGACAACGGTTTCTAGCACAATGTTCAATGCCCAATCAATAGCTAGGTACAAGAAAGCTCAATCCTGCTTGCCGGAAAGCTACAGGTAGCAATTGCCATACTTGTACACTCATCTCCTTACAGCCTGACCTCCGAGCCCAAAAGACACAAATTCAAGAAATAATAGAGGCAGCTGGACATCAGGTAATTTTTTATTCTCCCTTTCACTGTAAACTAAATTTTATAAAGAATTTTTAGGGTTGGGCAAAAATGTATTCAAGGGCAAATTGTAATTACCCATTTTCTTCTCTAGTTCATCTTGTACCTCAAGCACTTGCACAAATTCCTGATGTTTTAATCTGAAAATACTATCAATGAACTACTCGAATGATGGAGGCATATCAGAATAACATGGTGTATAGATCTGTTGATTTTAAATGATATGTCTATACTAGATATTCTTCTCATAGGCAGATTTCAGAGTCTGAAGTTTGAATATAACTACCATGTATTATAATTATTATTATAAAAATAAAAATCTCTACTCCAAATGTAAAATTACTAACCCTTAAAATGTATTGTAGTAGGGTTCAATACCTATTGTAGCTCTGTTAGTGTATTTGTAAGCATTACACTTGGCATTGCATGACAAATTGTCACTTTTTTGTTACAAAGTTGGTACTCGTCATGTCGTAACATTTGTAAAATGGACCACGCTTACAGGGGGTGCAGAGGGACGTGCAGAGAGCCACAGAAGAGCCCAAGAAGGAACTAGTTAAACATAAGTGGCAACTGTACACAAGGGTAATTTATAATACACTAAACTTATTATAGAAATTAAATATTAAACATTAAAAATTAAAATATTAAAAATTAAAATTATTTCCTCCTTTATCTGATATACAGGCTGCCATCTGATGAGGCATGGAATCAATATGATGATTGATCCGCTCCTGTAGGTAGTTATTCCAAGCCTATAACAGTATTAGATAAAAAGTAATAGAAAGTGGGATTTCAACTTACCTCTTCAAGGACAAGACGGATCTGCCGTGCAGTCATTCGTGCACCTATTTTCTCATGTAAAATATCCTTTAACTCCGTCCAGATTGTCTCAATCAGATTCAAATCTGGGGAGTTAGCAGGCCATATAAGCTTGGTAAATCCAAGTAGCTCACGAGGGATATTGTGATAATGGTAGACATGTGCTGGAGCATTGTCCTCCATTATCACAATATCACGATCGGGAAACTCTTCTTTTGCCCGATTTGTAAATGGATAGAGAAGGGGGTTCAGGATTCGTTCATGGTAGATATACCATTCGATACCCCCTTTTCAATCCACTTTCTGGGTTTTCAATGCTGGATCAAGAAAAGGGATTGGTAATCCCAAGGAGCTGGCATTTGCATTTGCTACTAGCTCCGATTGATACTCTCTTTGAAGAGTAAGAATAGCTTTTTTCCATTGGTTGGCTGTCTCATATGGCGTACTGTACATATGATATAGAAGATCAAAGCCTAGTATATATGTAATAATTTATTAGTATTAAACAATATGTACATATTAGAAACAAAGTTAATTGAACTATAAAGTAGTAACTTGAATAAATAATAACTTTAAACATAAAAAATTACAAATTTAAATACAAAGATTTACTTGTACGTACCAGCTTTTCCATAGAGGATTGCGCCCCAAACATTACTGTTGCCCCTTGTGCCAACTTCCAATCAATATTTTGTGGCCGATAGGCCTCTCCAGCTCGGCGAAGTACCCCACGGGCTCGACGGAACCGCAGACTTCCTGTCTCAAAATAGGACTCATCTGTGAAGATGATATTCCTCCAATTGTAGTTTTGATACTCGTGGCAAAAGGCAAGTCGTCTTGCCTTCTGGTCTGGACTGAGGGTTGGTTTTCGGACTGGCTTTTGGTGATATATTTTATTTTCACGCAGTACTTTAGAAATAGTTTGCCTGCTAACATTCAGCTGCACTTTTATTTTAAAATAATTATTATCATTATTAGTTACATATTCCACTTTGAATTTTAAATTAAGGAAAAAAAAAGAAAACTTCTAGTACCTGCTTCCGCTAACTGTGTAAAGGTCATACGGCAATGGTCTGCATCTTGTAGAGTAACCTCTACCAAATGTTCTTTTTGTACCAATGTCAAGGCCTCGTTAGCACCTTTTGCTGAGTTTGGCAATGGGGCAAGGTTCTTGTCAGCACAGAGATCGGGGTTTTGGTTTTCGCTAGCTCGCTGGCGTGCCATTCGAATAATGTTTGAGCAGGTACTTAGTAGTACCCCAGTTTTTGCTGAAATATCTGCTAAGCTCATCTTTTGTGATCCCTCTAACATTGAGTATCCAACAATCTGGCCACACTTTGCCATTGATGTTGTTCAGCCTCTTGGGGTTGACATTTTGGTGAATTTCCGTGTTGTTGATATTTACATTAAGGTCTGGATACAATGTTTACTTTATAAATACCCTTATTCTACTTTTTTATTTTAATACTACTACAGTATGAGTATATGAGTACACTAACTATTCTACTAGACCTATTCAGATTTCCTATGGCCTTCTATGTACCCCTGTACGCCACCATGCAAGCCCGGTCCATTTCACAAACGTCACGACAGGACGAGTATAGAGGCTAGTCTTCCGGAACCATACCTGTATCATACCTAGGAAATACAACTCCCTTTTCTCTCTCAGTTATACAAGACCTGAACCCCTGAACCCCAACCCGGAACCCCCGGACCCCTGAACCTCCTTACCTAGTATAAACAATATTTATTAGTATGCTTGTACCCAGCCTCCTTGTACCTGAACCCCCTTCAATAGTGGTATACCTTGGTCTACCTGAATCCTCAGACCCCTTCTGTTACACTCAGGAACAATTCAAACTTGATTAGTTAAATACAAGATACAAAACAGAATATACTACAATAAGAAATAAATAAAAATTCTATGAAGCACAAATAAGAATAACTTTCAAGTTGCAGAAACACATTTTGCAATCCTTGTATGGTTGGCTGTTTGGCAGACCATCAATTTCAAAACATGTTTTGCAAAATCTACAAAATACATTTTACAAATTATATTTTCAATTTACGAACTGCTTGCGCCAAACAGGCCCTTAATCTATAGCCACAGCTTAGTAGAGTCTTCTCACCCTTCCCGCGTGATACCAGAGCTTTCAACTGACACTGTAATAAGCGCAAGTGCCGGTGATAGAAAGATGGTTTAAAAGGCCCTCCTCCGCACATTTGACAGGAAATAGGGGGCAACCACTCCATTCCAGCACAATACATGTTTCGACCGATGCCAAAGGTATATAATAATGACCAAAACAAAGTCTAAACAGGCGGTATCATTCACTTCTAGCAAGTGTGCTGACACAAATCGAATGATCAAAGGAAAGGGAACAATTTCGCTTAAGGCAAACAAAATGCGTCAATGAAACAAAATTCCACACCACCCCCTACTCCGAATATTGCAAACCCAATAGTCATACAGCAATTATTAGAATACATTTCTCCCCCAGCTGACTACCCGAAAGAGACGAGCTCTCAATACTCCACCAATCTCAGCTTTCTTCCAACCGCCCTCCTTGACGCAGCCTTCTGTGCCGGCTTTCGATGGACTTCGTTATTGAGCAAGTGCTTAACACTTCCAGAATCAAAGTATCCATAGCCACCGAGCATTCCTCCCTCCCCATCACTTTCCTCTCTACTAGTCGTCGAAGTACTTTCGTCACCGTCTCTAGCACGAACAGGTTGTCTAGTTGTTCCAACCGCCCTTCCTGAACGGCTCTTCATCCTCGTAGTCATCAATGGTAAGGGGGCTGGATCAATTGTTTGATCTTCATTTCCCCTTGCCCGGGTCCTGGCGGGAGAAGCAGCAGCGTGGCGCTGGGTCTGCCGGAGCATGTGTCGCACCTCCAAGAGATAACTTTGAAGGGTATCCACGAACCGCTTCGTTTGTCGATGTTTACTGCTGACCGAGATGGAGATGCTATCGCCTTTAATAATGTATCCGATACCAAAGCCATCACCGCTAGTAGGTCCGAATCCAAACAATCTCAGGCTAGGGTTACCGCAGTTACTGGTGCTTAGAATAGTGTTATTAATCTTATCCCATCCTGGATCCGAGAAGATACTCGGGATATTCTGAGGAGGCTTCTGCCCCTGGTCTCTAGTAGACCCAGAAATTGAGCTAGTATCCGAGAAGCTTCTGGAGTGTCCTTGGTTTGGTGGGCTATGCTCATAGCTACCTTCGGCTAGGGAGGACTCGTATCCATCGCTACTCATACCGTTGAGAGAACCATCGGTACACTGATATTCCTCATCCAGGCCTCTCTGCCAGACGCAGAACAACGCATACAGGTGTCTATCCTGACCCAATCCTTTCGCACACTCCCTTGTTGTTGCCGTATGTTTTTGGCAAGCCTTCTTGAGCGCTTCGAGCTTCTCGGCGGCTGGTGCGTTCTCACAAAACTTTCGTACAAAATCGACAGATTCTGTTGACACGGTTCTGATCGCCTCGGTGCGGCCGTGCAAGTATATCTTTGTCATGGCTGGCTCGTAAGTACTCTCAACCCTACCATAAAGCCCATAGTACGCCGCCTGAAACGCCATCTGCACAAATGCATCGGGGGAGAAGCCCATAGATGTAATAAAGTTCTTTCCGTAATGCTCAAATTCCAAGACTTCAAACTCATTCTGCTGAATCAAGTCGGCCAACCTAGTCTCAGCGAAGCGAAGGGCGAGCGAGAGTTCCGGGACCATAGTCCACTCAAGTCTGTGGGGTGTTGTGCAAACATCGCCGAAGCTAGCCGGATCACGCTTTCTCGGGTCAGGGGAAGTGGAAGCCCATAAGCTAGGAGCATTACCATTGATAGTTCTGGCAAACCGAAGGATTGTATCGGTATAAACATCACTTGCCATTCTCAGGACAGTGTGCCCGTCGACACCTGTGTGTTCAAAATTGATTCCAGCCGATCCATTCTTGCAAACAATGATCTGCAATTTGTCATACCAACGGTTGGTACATGTACCGATCTGCACGCCCTTCTCGACGACATTCGTCCCGCAAAGCATGTTCATGCTCAATTCAGCACCGCTCTTAGGGGATGTTGAATCGAGGCAAAGAACAAACAAGGCAGTATCGACGATCCTCAGGCACTCGGTATTGTTGCTGTCCATTCCATCTCTGGTCAAAACCTCCCTCAAGCTTGCCCAAACCCTCCGATTCTCAGTGGAAAGTACTCCAACCGCGGACTTGGCAGCTTCTTGAATTGGTGTAGTTGCTGCATCGTCAACAATAGCTTGGAGGTTTTGTGCGACATCCCTCTCGGCCATGATGATATCCGAGTTATCGTCCAAGACGTCGAACCAGTAAAACTGCGAATGACACATAACAACAACGTGACGAGCATCTGGGTCAGACTGCATGACACAGCCATTTTCCGTGGGAATCCGAGCCGTGCTGAAAATCCGGGGATATTGGTACTGTCACGTGATTTATCAGCACATGTGATCATTTCATGAGGGAAGAGACTAGAATCCTGTCTCATATAATTCACATGTGGGGTGCCTTACCATGCACAACGGGGTTCCACGAAATTCGTCTGGTGGTAGCTCTTCCTTGCGCAGCGCCCTTACGAAAGAGAGAGAGGAAACGACGAGAGATGCTGCCCTAGTGACTTGATTGTTTCTTGCTGGCGTAGGATCATCTTCCAAGAGAAAGCTAAATCCGTTCAGCATTAGATCAGAGGCGTTTCGGGAAGGTGGCCCACAATGGATTCAAGTTCAGAACGACAGCTATGGTGGTGTTAGCCCGGGTGTTCGCCCCACACTCCTAAAGGAAAACTTACGATTATCGTAGTTGAGGTAAGAGTCGTACCCTAAGAAAACTTTAGCAAGAGCTCGGTACACACTACGATGGACCTGGCGGCAGAAGAAAACTCACAAAACTGCTCAATGTAACTGCTCTTGCTACTGGCATATTTCTTCAACCTCTCCTGCAACTCTGGGCCATCCGTCTTCAAAAACTCTTGCACAGCTGCCTTTGTCTCCCCATGTTCCCTATGTGCCTGCAGTGGCTTAACAGCTTCCAGGTAGTTCCAACATGTCTTCTCCAAGTCCGGGATGGGTAGCTTCTGCAGCTTGTCCTGATATGCGTAGGTCGTAACCGGTCCCTCGTCCGCAGCCAGCACCTGTCTCGCTGTGGGTTCCTTCGCCGATGAAGCGTAGGATCCCGGGGGCGAGAGGGAAGTGAGAGACTCATTAAGGGACCTCGGCATGGCAATCGCTCTGGTGGCTGGACCGATGACCTTCGAAGGAGCCATTTCGGACGGTTAGCTCTTTCGGAATTCGCAGTGAAAATACGGTTTACCGGTATTCCCGAGGGCCAAACAAACAAACAAAACAAGGGCCACGGGTAGAGGGAAAGGGACTAGAGGGAACTTTTAAAAGCAAGAGAAAGGCGAGGGGATATGGGGCTAACCTTTTAACCACGAGACCAAGTAGATGGGAAGGATAGCCGGATGCCAATAAGGTTCCCCTTTTTTTTCCCCTTTTCTTTTTCCTTCAGGCACTCTTAATTTTGGTGCAGTCTTTGTAGCCCGGGCCAGTGGAGGAAAACAGCGGTGATCTGCACGCTTAGAATGGGAATCAGCGTGGAGACCCGACAATACCGAGGGCGGGTGATGGGCAGAGCACGGGTAACTCACTCGTGGAGTGCAGTAAAGTTAACCAACAGTCTTAGTATTGGAGGGGAAGAAGCCTGTTGCAGTAATCGCGGGCGAAGGGAGGAAGGCTATGCTAAACATGGGCAATTGAACTGTCTGTTGGAGCAGGCAGTAATCACGCATCCTTCCTTCCATCCTTCCATCTATAAAACCGCTCGGACGTGAAGGCTAACTTATCACTCGAATTTGTCACGGGTAGAACTATCCTTCCCACATCATTCTCCAATCAATCAACCGATGGCGGGGCAGTGGTGGGGGGGGGAGGGGGCGGGTACGAGCACCGGTACTCGAGTACTGTGCTGTGCAACGGGGGAGCGAGAGAGACAACAATATACATACAATTAGGATGAGGTCACCGGTCCTGTCTCTCAAACCACTCGATCAAGATGGCATGTGCAATTTGGCGAACAACCATCGCAAGTGAACCCAACATAAATTACCATACCCACCATTCGCTCTCTTCGCCCCTCCCCCTCGTATACACAACTGTGATAAGCGTAACCGCTCAGCGATATTTAAAAAAAAAAAAATGCATCGGGTATCAAGGGCGAGTCTGTCGGACTCCCTCTGGTTGACTCAGTGGTCTCTCGACCACAGGGGACGGCATTCGCTCTAGCCACCCCCCGACAAGGGTCCGACAGACTTATGCCCGCACCCTACTCGTAGTACGATAGGACTAGCAGAGGCCACCTCGC